TTGGCTAACAACATTTAAAAAAAGGCGTGTTTAGTTTTTTTAATTTTTACATACATTTCAAAGACAGAAAAAATTAATTACAAGTTTTCTAAAGTAAATGCTCAAGAAAAAAGGGGGGAGAGCAGAAAGTCTCTTCTCTTATTTTCAATAGGGATAATTCAGCCTCTAATTTTTCATTTGTATTTATGAGTTATGAGTTATAACTCTATGGCACAACCTAAAGTTTTCTTTATCCTTTCAACAACAACAAATTGGCCTTCTTCTTCTGGTTGAGCTTAAATTTCTGCCCTCCAGAACATGTCATGGTAACATCAATTATAGACAAAAGATTAATATCTTTATATATATTTAAATATGTGTATATTATATATATAAATCTTCAGATCAATAAGAAAATAGCATCAGCACAAAAGAAAAAGTGACAAATATATGAAAAAAATAAATAGATGTTTCAAATATCTAAAAACACATTCTATTTTATTCAGAATTAGAGAGACAAAAATTGACAAAGATCAAACATGATGTTGGGGGAAACAGCAATCTCTTCCTTTGCTAGTAGAAGGTAAATTGTTTCAACAGCTATGGAGGACATTTTAACAAAAACTATCAAAATTTAAAGGGCATTCCTTTTGACTCAGCAATTCCACTCTTAGATATTGATCTGAGTAGTATACTCACATATAAGAAAAATGGCATATGTACAAGAATATTGACTACTCTTTCTAATAGCAAAAGATTAGAACAATCTAAGTTCCTATCAATTAAGACTGATTGAATTACTATATATCCATAGAATGAAATATACTCTATAACTGTAAAAAAAATGAAGATCTGTACATGTCTATTGATCTAAAACTATCCTCAAAGTACATCATTAAATGAAAAGCAAGATGAAAAAAATCTCTATTTGGGCTATCTTTCATGTGGAGAAAGATTATGGGTAAGTATATATTTGTGCTCATAATTACATTATATGCTTGTTGAAGAAGAAAGAAAAAAGTAGAACAGTGATTATTTTTGAGAAAAAGAACTGGGTGTTGTCTGGGCAGGGAAAGAAGACATTCATTGCCTATACTTTTGTATTTTTAAAATTGCTTTCTATAAGCATGTACTGGATTTAAATATACATTTAAAAAATTAATGATAACATTAAAATATAAATTTTAAAACTATTCCACTATGAAATTAGAACCAGGGAAACATTTCTTCATAATTCTTTGATTCTTTGGGAAATTAGGAAGAGGACTGATTGTTGATGGAAAATGAAAAAGAAGAAAATTGACCTCTTATCATCTCACTAAAATTCTTTGGTTCTATTAGAACAAAGTAGAAATGTCTTCTTCTGAGGACCTATGAGAGTAAATAAAATATGAAAAAGTGAAAGTGGCTATATTTTTATTCTTGTACCATTTTCCTCCATGACCACTTACTCATTAAAACAATTAAATATATTTAACATGCTAGGCACAGAGCTAGAAGATGACTAATACACAGAAGTGAATAAGACATATTTCCTTCTCTTGTGGGGGGTCATAAGGGGTAAATGGACAAGATGTGTTATAAACAAAGGAATCATAAGTTGATATGGGAGCAAGTATGAAGAGTACAGATAAAACCCAAGAGTATTAAGGGGTGAGAAAGCAATACAAGTTCTGAAAAATGCACTTAACCATTCATAGATCACAATCTATTTACAAGTATACCGCAATACACAGAAAAGAAGCTTTCTAGAATAGATGTTCCATAGGGCATTTACTACCCCATCATGATTTATAATTGGCCACACCTACTGACATACTGAGTGATGAGCATCCTTAATCAAGATAAATATGGCTCCAAGATGTAATATAACTTACAATTCAACAATTAAGATAAATAGATGTAAAGAGAAACAGGGAACAATAAAAAATGTCATTTAGGTACTGAAATATAAAAATCAATCTCTAAAGAACAAAGTACAATTGTTATACTAATACTTAAAATAATACATTCAGAACTTATTCTTTGAGCCAGAACCATGTAAGCTCGTATGTGGAATGTACTTTATGTATTTGATCTACTTTTATGAATTCAGCTTTCTTTTTCACTCCAAGGGATACACTGATATTTATTTGTAGTCAAGAAAGATTTCTTTAATGCAATGATTCTTCTCATCCACAGTAAAAAAAAAAAAAAAATGTTCTTTTGCTTTTCTCAATATATAAATAATAAATGCTCATTGCAGTAATTCTCAAACAAAACATAAAAATACTTTTAAAGTTATCTAAAATCCCACCACTCTGAGGGAACCACCATTAATACTTTAGTCAACTATCTTTCATGTGTTCTTGTATACACACACACACATTCTCACATATGCCAATTTTATATGAATGAGATTTTTTTTATGGTGGACTCTCCTTTATTTTCTCCTTCCTACTCCCTACCACCACCACTTCATCCTCAATCTACTTTTCTCTCAACCACCAACCATCCCTACTAGACAATATTAACAACCCAGTACATATGCTTCATGCTGTTCTCCATGCTCCTAATTATATCAAAATATTTTTAATCTTATGTCAGGGATTTTTTCATTGTTTATCTTACAATTATATTTCATTGACTTCTCTATTTGGTGTCTTTACATTTGGCCTTATAATATATGCAACTCTCTCCAAAGTAAGATTAGGTGTACCAAATATTTTCATTTTGTATAGTAGGCCAGAGATGTATAATTAATAAAATTAGGTTCCTTCAACAGGATCTTTTAATAGGAAGAACTCTTCTTGAGTTGTGGGTAATATTCATACCATAAAAGACATGACTGAGAACAGGCTTCATGTCCTTACTGAATGGGATGTCACTGAGAATTTTAAGATTAGAGTTTTTATAGAGGATATTATTAGAGAGGGTATGAGAGGATGTGATTAGTCGTCTCCATTTCTACTAAATAGCCAGATATGGGATTCATATACATCACCATGGTTTCACAGAACAGACACAAGAGCACCAAGACTCACATTTAGAGAAGGCATTTTGGTAAACTGAGAGCACCTGAAATGTAGCTCTTAGAACCAACATATACGGTCCAAGGATATACAAAATAATGAGAATGATGATAGTTCATAGTACATGTTCTAAGATGTGGCATAGTATGGGACATGACTCAGCGGGCCCATGTGTACCGGATGCTATAATGTGCTGTCCCAATCTTTCTTTCAAGACTGAGACAATCGTTTCTCCAACTGACAGAAGTCTAGCATGCTGATAACTGGCTTCCTTGCCAGAAATTGCCTCGAGCCACAGAGACTAGGTTTTTCCTTGATTATCTGCCCTACCCAGGGATAGCTCACATTCAATAATTAGTCAGTGCTGGTATACAAAGGCCTGACACCCTTTCCTCAATCTGTGACAAATCAGAACAGCTGTCCCAGCTACAGGGTTCCACATGGCAGCAGCTGAGACTTTTGTTTCAATTTTATCACAGTTCAACTTCTCCTTCTATATTCCTATATATCCTCAATCTTGTATAGCTGTTGTTCCCAAGAGAACTCCACAACAAACTCTCTGCATGAAATCTTAGCATCTATTTCCACCGAACCCAACCTACATCACCATATCATTTAGAAAGAAAAGAGGGACTGAATGAGAAAATCAGTGAGCCAAGAGAGTCACGTCACCCTACCACAGATCCTGTCATGAGGATGGGATAGTGCAGGAAGTAGCAGCAGGCCAAGTACTGACCACTTTCCATGACAGTAGAAGAGCCATGCATTTGTGCTTCGAAAAAGAAGCACAACCAAGTGAAGCAATCACAATATGAAATGGTATTGGTTTTAGAAAGAAAATTGTTCAACATGTTGGATATTGTACAAGTAACTTAAAAAATCATGATAGCTACCACTCCAGGGAAGATGGTGGACTAAGACGAAAGAACGACCCTAAGCTCACTTCATCTATAAACATAACTAGAAAAAAGCCCCATCAGTGTAAATAACCCAGAAAATGACCCAAAGGCTGGCAAAACAGACTCTTCACAGCTAAATGTAGCAAAGAGGCCATATCGAAGAGGGTAAGGACAGAGACATGGTGGGGAGCCAAACAGACCATAGGACTTGGCTGTAGGAGGGACGCTGCGGGCACAGAGAGAGGAAAGAAACAGAATCTCACACCAGGCACCTCAGGCACAGGGAACCCACACAGAGAAGACGATTCCCCATAACATTTGGCTTTGAAAACCAGAATGAGTTCTTACAATCAGCAGAGCTTAATACCAGGAACTTTAAAAATCAGTGGGCTCACCTCTGGGAGAGCCAAGAGGGCAAGAGGAAACTGAGTCCCTGCCCTTAAAGAGACAGCAAAACTAACAGCCCTGTGGAGATATTGCATAGAAGGAGCAGTTTGCAAAACTATGTGGGGTAAATGGAGGGAGATTTATTCACTAATCCCAGAGCATGTGCTAGAGGGGTAGGGAACCTTGGGAGACTTCTCCAAGTATAAGAGAGCTGGCAGGTACCATTTCCCTTGCCTGCCCCCCAGCCTAGATACAAGGAACCAACACAGCACCAACACTCACTAACTTGCTAACAGCACACTCTGCCCCCAAGTTCTGTGGACATGCCCCCCTCCCATCAGGCTTCCCCTCCAGGTCCCCTTCCACAACAGATTCACACAAACCTTGCTAATACCACACATCCCACCCCCACATTCTCCTGTTTACCTTCCAATACGACCTCGGCCAACCCTATCCAAAGTGGTGCCACAAGTGTGGCAGTGTGCAAGCAGCCCCAGCAAGGGTCAGCACTACTCCAAAAGTGACTCCTGCATGGGGAAGAGGGGAAGATAACCATATACACCAGTCCAAATGCTGCCCCAGTGGGCTGGAGACAGACATCCAGTCTGACTACAGACCCTCCCACCAACAGAAACTTCTCAGGGGAAACACAGGGAAAGTGCCCTGAAGTTTGGTGCTACTACATCTCTGGCAAATGCCTGATCTGACTCAACTCAAGCCCAAGATGACCCCAGACTGGCCCACTAATAGCAAGAGACCAAACCCTGCCCACAACAGGCAGAGAACCATTGCAGGTAACTAGACTGAAGGCAAAAGTGGTTCAGCCACAATAGTAAGGCACATGCAACACACATAGGAGACACCCATGAAGTGCCAGTTTCTGATGAACAGCGGACACTGAACTGCAGGGCATGACAGGACCTCTTCTTCATAAGGCCACTACTTTCAAGAGCAGGGGATGTATCTGACTTTCCTAACACATAGAAACAGACACAGAGGGGTGCCTGGGTGGCTCAGTCGGTTAAGCATCTGCCTTCAGCTCAGGTCATGATCCCAGAGTCCCAGGATCGAGCCCCACGTCAGGCTCCCTGCTCAGCGGGGAATCTGCTTCTTCCTCTGACCCTCCCCCCTCTTGTGCTCTCTCTCACACTCTCTCTCTCAAATAAATAAAACTTTTAAAAATAAAATTTTAAAAAAGAAACAGACACAGAGAGTTGGACAAAGTGAGGGGACAGAGGAATAGGTCCCAGTGAGAAGACAGGTCAAAACCACAACGAGAGCTAAATGAAATGGAAGTAAGCCATATGCCTGATAGGGAATTTAAAGTAATGGACTTGATATCCACTGGACTTGAGAAAAAGAGTGGGGGGCCTCCATGAGACCCTTAACAAAGAGACAGAAAACAAAAAAGAACCAATCAGAGATGAAGAACTCAATAACTGAAATTAAAAATATACTAGATGGAATAAATAACAGGCTAGAGGAAGCAAAAGAATCGGTCAGCAACCTGAAGGACACAGCAATGAAAAGCAATCAAGCTGAACAGGGGAAAGAAAAATAATAACAATAAATGAAGACAGACTTAGGGAACTCAGTGACACCATCAAGAATAACATTCACATTATAGGAATCCCAGAAGAAGAGAAAAAAGGGGGCAGAAGAAATTTTAAGAATTTTTTCTTCAAATTTTCTTTCTTTCTTTGAAGAAATATTTATTTGAAGAAATAATAACTGATGAAAAGATGCTCAACATCACGAATCATCAGGGAATTGGAAACCAAAACCACAATGAAATATTACCTCATACCCATCAAAATGGCTAAAATCAGAAACACAAGAAACAAGTGTTGGTGAGGATGTGGACAAAAAGGAACTCTCATGCACTGTTAGTAGGAATACAAACTGGTCCAGCCACTGTGGAAGATGGTATGGAGGCTCTTCAAAAAATTAAAAATAGAATTACCATATAATCCAGTAATTCCACTCCTGGATATTTACCCAAAGATTACAAAAACACTAACTTGGAAAGATATATGCATCCCTATGTTTATTGCAAGATTATTTACAATAGCCAAATTATGAAAGCAGCCCAAGTGTCCACTGATAGCAGAATGGATAAAGAATATGTTTGTGTATATATATATGTGTGTGTGTATGTGTGAATACATATAATGAGATATTTCTCAACCATAAAAAAGAATGAAATCTTGCCATTTGCAATAACATGGATGGATCTAGAGGGTATAATGCTAAGTGAAATAAGTCAGACAGAAAGAGACAAATACCATATGGTTTCACTCCTATGTAGAATTGAAGAAACAAATGAGCAAAGGAAAAAAAAAGAGAGACAAGCCAAGAAACAGACTCTTAACTATAGAAAACAAACTGATGGTTACCAGGGGGGAGGTGGTGGGGGATGGGTGAAATAGGTGATGGAGACTAAGTAGGGCACTTGTGATGAGCACCGGGTGATGTATGGAAGTGTTGAATCACTGTATTGTACACCTAAAACTAATATTACACTGTATGGTAACTGGAATTAAGATGAAAATTAAAATTTAAATTAAATTTAAAGAATTATGACTCCAGAAACCATATTATTAACTATTATGTTATGCTATCTCTTAATATTAGGGTATTATATGAGAGCTCCTGAGCTAACCGTTTTGTATACACTCTCTCTTTTAGTCCATTACATTATTTGAGCCATTACTATTTTACATGATTTTACATAGAAATCTAATGCCTGGAGAGAATAGGTAACAATTTGCTCAAAGTACAGTCTGATAGTAACTAGGGAAGTGGGGGCTTAACCAGGTCTCTCTGAGTCCAAAGATGATGTTCTTTATCACTATTAATTAGTCATGGCAGAATTAAATAGGTTATTGAAAAATGGGGAAAATTCTCTATGTTTCACTAAAGCTGGAATGATATTCAGCTGTTAGGAAGCATTCATGGGAAATAGCTGATAAGAACACAGTGACTAAGTGTAGAATAATACTGTAAATACAGTATGACATCTATGTGCAGGAAAATTAACTTCCAGTCTTTAGAAAAAAGGACAAAAGGGAAGTACACCAAAAGAGTTTAAATGGCAATGTTTAGATAATAATATAGAGGTCTCTTTTTTCTATTTTTTTCCCAATCTTATGCTTTATTTTAAAATGTTTTTATATCAAGTAATAATAAATAATAAACTTTATTATTATAACAAATTATTTTTAATAATAATAATAATAATGATAAATCGAGATCAGAGTTTCCCAGTTTAAAAGAACTGGCATAACTTAAGGATATTCATCTATATAAAACCTCACTAACCAGGCTGTCCCTTACTTTTTTCTAACAAAGTTTATCACTTCAAAAAGTATTTTCTGAAATTTCTCAGAATTAAATTAAGAGAAAACACTAAGTCCCTTGAGAGAATGGCGGCAGGGGCAGGAAGATTAAGAAATGAACATTTAGGAGTGACTAGCAAGAGAAAAGCCCTGTTGGCCCATCCAGCTTTATTTCAGTCAGTTTCATGGGTACTATATAGAACAGGGGAAGTTTCTGGACTCTGATACCGGCTGCTAAGATGTAAATTGTGATTAAGTCATTTTAGCAATATGGCAAACTGAAGACGTATCAATCACATACTACAGTTTCTTATGCCTTACATTCCCAAGTCAATATGTCCCAAAAAAGTTGGCAGACTATTTATATTTCTTTACTATTTTTTTCCAGATTAATACTAATTTAATTTTAATAGTATATAAAAATTTTGTTCCAGTATAATTCTGTTCCCTTCACTTTCTTTTGTATTTCTTTACTATTTAAATTGATTTATCTAACAAGTGTAAACGAACAACTAGAATAAGTTGCTCTGCAAAGATAGTAAAAACCACAATTCAGAACCCAGTTTTTATTTAAATACAGATATATACATATATAAGTGTGTATGTATATATGTTGTGTGTATATATTTGAGAAAATATGAAAAATAATTCTAAAGAAATAACACAAAGGATCAATATACTACAGAAGAAGTTTTCACATTTTACATCAGTGATAAATCCACATGAAATATATTTGTGGTCATGAATGGACCTCTATATTTAGACTATAACTCTTTTCCTACCCCAAGATAAATGTCCTTTCCAGCTCTAAAATTCTTACTCATTAAATAATTTTATAAAATATCCATGGCATTTTTTTGTGTGTTTTTTCTTCTAGAATGTTCAGTTAAGTTCCCCATGCTAAATGCCTTGTAGATGAGGACAATCTTTTATAGTTATTTGTATTTCTCTACTTCTCTCTACATTTCTCTATGCAATTCTCATATTCATTCACAGAAGAGTGGCAGACACATAGTAAATGTTGATTAAGTAGTTGTTGATGGATTTCTGGAAGTTTGTTTAAAAAGGCTATGTGCTTCAGGGTGCCTGGATGGCGCAGAGAGTTAAGCACCCTACTCTTGACTTCAGCTCAGGTCATGATCTTGGCTTCCTGGGATTGAGCCCCACATTGGGCTCCCTGTTCAGTAGAAATCCTGCTTCTCCCTCTCCTTCTGCCCCTCCCCACTCTTCTCTCTCTCATTCTCTCATTCAAATAAATAAGATCTTTTTTAAAAAAGGCTATGTACTTCCAAATATCTTGAAAACCAAGAGAAAAAAAGACATATTTGATAAATACAAAATTCTGATTTTTTTTTAAAGATTTTATTTATTTATTTGACAGAGAGAGACAGAGCGAGAGAGGGAACACAAGCAGGTGGAGCGAGAGAGGGAGAAGCAGGCTTCCTGCAGGGCAGGGAGCCTGATGCGGGGCTCGATCCCAGGACCCTGGGATGATGACCTGAGCCGAAGGCAGACGCTTAACAACTGAGCCACCCAGGCGCCCTCAAAATTCTGATTTTTTTGTAATTTTCTATTTTGAAATAATTTCAGTTTTTCAGAAAAGTTGCAAGAATAATATAGATATGCCCTTTACCCAGATTCCAATTGGTTAAAATTTACAATTGCCTTATTATCCTGTGACTTTTTATATCTTTCTCTATGTCATTTTTCTCCACCTATTTACCTTTTTATCATTTTTTTATTTAAAATCAATTAACATATAGTGTATTATTAGTTTCAAGGTAGAGTTTAGTGATTCATCAATTGCATATAACAGCCAGTGCTCATTACATCAAGTGCTCTCCATAATGCCCATCACCCAATTACCCCATTCCCCTACTCACCTCCCCTCCAGGGACCCTCAATTTGTTTCCTATACTTAAGAGTCTCTTATGGTCTGTCTCCCTCTCTGCTTTCATCTTATTGTTCCTTCTCTTCCCCTGTGTTCATCTGTTTTGTTTCTTAAATTCTACATGAGTGAAATCATATGATATTTGTCTTTCTCTGACTTACTTCACTTAGCCTAATACCCTCTAGTTCCATCCATGTCATTGCAAATGACAAGATTTCATTCTTTTTGATGGCTGAGTAATATTCCACTGTGTGTGTGTGTGTTTACCACTTCTTTATCCATTCATCTGTTGATGGACATCTAGGCTCTTTCCATACTCTGGCTATTGTGGACATTGCTGCTATAAACATTGGGGGTGCACATACCCCTTTGGATCACTACATTTGTATCTTTGGATAAATACCTAGTAGTGCAATTGCTGGGTCGTAGGGTAGCTCTATTTTTAACTTTTTGAGGAAACTCCATACTGTTTTCCAGAGTGGCTGCACCAGTTTGCATTCCCACCAACAGTGTAAGAGGGTTTCCCTTTCTCTGCATCCTCACCAACATTTGTTATTTCCTGATTTAATTTTAGCCTTTCTGACTGGTGTGAGGTAGTATCTCATGTACTCTGGCACATCACAAAATATGACCCTCACACAACCCCCCAGCACTGAGATAACATTTACCATTGGCATCATCAGTTCTGTGCATGATCAAGAAATGTAGCAGACCACTGCATTCCCTTTGCTGATTAACTACCCTAAACCCCTTTAAGAAACCCTGGGTAAAGCAGAAACCTCAGAGTTGGCTTTTGGACAAGAGTCTGCCTTCTCCCCAGGTAGCCAATGTCCTGAATAAAGTTCAAATTCCTTTCCAATCAAAACTCTTCTTTTGAGTATTGGCATTTCCAGCAATGGGCAGCTGAACCTTGAGTTCAGTAACACATTTACACCTAAATGTTTCAGTGTGTATTTTCTAGAAATACGGAATGGTTTCTCACATAACCACAGTATGTGGTTTATATTTATATTGATAAATACTATTATCTAACTTACAGACCTTATTCTGTAATTTCCCTGATTATCCTGTTGATATCTTTCACAGTAGGAGTTGGGGACAGATTTCTTTTTCTGACCCAGGATCCAATCAAGATTACAAACTGACCACTTTTAAAATCAAATGAGCCTTCAAAAAAATAAAAAAATAAAAAATAAAATGAGCCTTCAGATGTTAGTAAATTGGTAAGAACTTCAAGGTTCTAAAGTAGATTTCTAAAAACAAAGTCATTCTTTCCATAGAAATCTATGGAAAGGAACTTTTGTCCTCAAAGTTAAACTTTCATATTTGAAAATTAAAGTAATTGTTTTGTAGCACAAATGGAATGTAATAAGAAACATTGATCTTAAATGATAAGTGCTTATCAGATTCTATGCAAGATTTTTAAGCATTTTTTTCTCCAGGAAAATAAATTTTAATTAATTTTAATATTGAGGCACCTAGGTGGTTCAGTCATTTAAGCACCCAACTCTTGATTCAGCTCAGCTCATGATCTCAGGGTCGTGAGATCCACATTGGGCTCCAAGCTCAGCGGGGAGTCTGTTTCTCTCTCTCTCTCTCTCTCTCTCCCCCCATTCTGCCCTTCCCCCTGCTCATGCTCTCTCTCTAAAATAAATAAAGAAATCTTTAAGGAAAAAACTAATTTTAGTATTTTTCTAAGTTCATTATAAGCACTAAATTGAGCTGCTGGGCTTGTGTACTTCATAATTAACAAAAAGAGAAACAGAGAATTCTGTCACAGCTGACTATTGCACCTACTATTACTAACAGTATATTATGATACGCAAATATCTTGAACTTTATCCTTAAAAATAGTTGACTGGAAATGTGGAGGAAAAGGAGAATATTGTGAAATAAAACACCATCAACTCTCCTGAGAATTTAGTTGTCACTGATATTTTTGTTTTCTATCCTCTTTTGTGAGAAGTTTCCCATAAGAAGTGTATGCTTTTAGAATGAAGGGGGGGAAATCGGAGGGGTAGATGAACATGAGAGACTCTGAACTCGGAGAAACAAACTGAGGGTTCTAGAGGGGACGGGGGTGGGGGGATGGGTTAGCCTGGTGATGGGTATTAAAGAGGGCACGTACTGAATGGAGCACTGGGTGTCATGCACAAACAATGAATCATGGAACACTACATCAAAAACTAATGATGTAATGTATGGTGAGTAACATAATAAAAAATAAATAAATAAATAATCATTGCTAAAAATACAAATACAAGCCAAGACTGATTGAAATTTGCAACAAGTTTTTCCATCTAAACATTATAAATCCTGATTAGGTGCCTAAGTCAGCACACAATATCCTATCCAATCCATGATGGACTTGCTCAGGTACCAGGAGGGGTAGAAATGGCAAATAAAAAAGGAAGAAAAATAAGCACAGCAACACATGGATACTCTGGCATACAATTAACTCGTAAACCTGCTATTTGGATATATGAATTCATCTCACTCCACAGGAGTGGGTTCTCCTGCTTTTGGAGTCAGGATGTTCTTCCAAGCTTTTCAGAGGGTAAAATGACTCACTCGACAAATACGTTGCTGGAATTGTGTGTGTGCATAGGTAAGTATGGCTGGAGCAGAGGGGGAAAAAAAGAACAGGAAACTCTGAGAAGCAAGACTTGAAAGATAGGGCAGAACTGTGTTGCAGGGGCCTTACTGACCAGGCTACAGACTTTGAGTTTTACACTGTGGGTAGGGGAAAAATCAAAGGTGCTTGCTTCAACAGGATGTGAGATGTTTAGGATGAAATCTCCTTCAAGGAGTGTGAGCTGTGCTAAAAGATCTGCTCCTTTGTTGTGGATGAAGAAAACTTGAAGCCCACGCCCCAAGTGCAGCTTCTCTGCACATTGCTACAGAATGCCCCTGCTATGTGGCCCCCTTGGCCAAGAGTATCCTCAGGCCTAGTAAGTGTCCCATGAGAGGCAGGATTCTTCAGCCAAATTGTTGTAACTCAGAACCTTGATCGGAAAGAAGAGGAGGCCATGGTGGTCTTGGGAAGACAGTGATTCCACAGTCCCTTGGCTAAGGTCCCCCAACCATCTCCTATTTCTGGTAGGGAGAGGGGGACTCTGTCTCCAAAACCCACAATTGACATCAATGTATCAGAAGGCCAAAAAATTTTTAAACTTCTGTAATACTGACACCTTACCTAGGGTTTTGTTGGGCAGAATTTCCCTTGAGCATATGATAGATATGCTGAACATGTTGGTGAGGGATTGATCACTATTGATTGTATCTCTAGCTATCTCTAAGAGATTTAGACCCAGTAAAAATATTACTTCCTCCACCACTGGGGAAAATAAAGACAGAAGTGAAGGCACAAGGGTCTCCAGGGAAGATAGGGAGTGAGCAAGGGAATAACTAGCACAGATCTGTCGCCTGGCACTCTGCCCCTTCTGGAGAGAGTAAATGAATCCTCAAGGAGCAAAAGACACACTCTGCCTTTAATTCCTGGATCCTACAGCACATACATTCACCGATCTTCATTCCAACCTATTTTACACCTTCTCTCCAGCTGGTTACTACAAAGGCAACTACTTCTACTCTCAGAAAAGCCTCCAAGAAACTGACGGAGACGTTTCAGTTGGAATTCCCTTTCCTGCTTCAGGAAAGAAGGTAATGTAGTGCTTAGAGAGGAAAATATTATTAAAATATAGCTGGAGAATCTATATCTCTGAAAAAAGTTTCCTGCTAATTCTGCTACAGTCTTACAAAAAACATCTGACATTTATTATATGTCAGATATCGACAAAGTGCTTCCACCTTGTCAATTAAATATCTCATTCAGCAGTCTTTATACCAACCCTTTGGGGAAGACATTATCACCACCATTTGACATTTGAGGAAACTAAGAGATAAGAAATAACTGGCCTGTAGAATTTCCCACAACAATGCAATGTAAGCGCATAAGGCAGAGGGTTATGCTCACAGGGGAACTGTCTGGGCTGTCTGCTTGAAGAATTTAACTAGTGAGGATACCAAGACTTTCACTCCACTGTGTTTCTGGGACCAGCTGGATACATCAAGATTATGGATACTAATTTCACAAGTTAAAAAGTGAAGCTTCTTTGTTTTGTTTTGTTAATTCTCTGTCCAAGCAGCCTGAGTGCATAGACACAGTTGAGGCCCCTGCGTTCATGTTTCCACAACACTGGCCACACCATTTCTGAGGCCAATTCAGGGGCACCCAACCAACTCAGACTGACAGTTAACACAGCAGCTGCTTTCTATGCTTAGGAGCTAACTGAAAAACAATGAGTAACAAAATAGCTTAGCAGAAATATCTCTATCTTTAACCACATTTAATTTCATTAGAATTAGTATAAAATATTTTTACACATTTCCTATTTTCCAGGACAGTTTTGTTAGGCTTTTACCTGGAAAACTATTCTGCAAGGGAGCTGTCCTGTATCTTGTATCTTCATATATAATTAATACAATATCCACCAAGGATTTTTATTCCAGGATTACATATCACTTCTAGATTTGCAAATCTAACTATCCTGTACAGTCTGGGCCTTCCTAGAATAACAACTAACATCTCAGAGATGAACAGGATTAAGAATTCTGTAGTGCAGTTCCCACTCTACATTTGAGAAACTAAAAGATGTTAAATACTATGCTAGATCCATAAACAAGTTAGTTTTTTTTAATCAACAGAATTTATGCCTTTGTCTTTCTACTTTTCCACTCTGCAACCCATCCTTTAGCAGTTGAAGAGATCACTTAAAAAAAAAAAGAGAGAGATCACTTAAAAATAGAATGGCTTCTGTTACCAGGAACACTCAATCTCTCATAACCCCCTTTCAAATAAATTCTCTGAAATCTATATCAGAACTCTAGTAACTCAAGGTGACACACAGAAGTTATTAAATAATACATTCCTGCAAATTTTACTCACATTATTTTTTAGGTTCCCATGGTATAAAAATCACTTTCATATAAATAATATTGTTTTAAGGCTTAGAACATATTTCTCCTAAAATGTCTTTTATAGATATTTTTAAGAGCTTTTATTATTCCCATGACAATTCATGTATTTTTCCAAAGTTTTATATGATACATGTATTTCATAATTAAAAAAATATTTTTTGAAGAAAGGGAGCAGTTATACAACAATTTATTAAAGGATAAGAGAAAGGGAGAGATGATACTAAAACATACAGAAAAAAAAAAAGAAAGCCCTCAAAGATTTACTCAACTATCCACATTTCCAGTAATACGATAGTCAAATAGATGACTGAGTATAAATTGAGATTTGAGGAAAACCAGCGAAATAATCCAAACCAAAAACACACAATCACTACCAACAGATTCCTTGAATTGATTAAATCCAGGTATCATGTCTGTGAATTAGTATTATAAACTCACAAGCTTCATAAAATTTTTGTTTTAACTTCTGAGACTGAATAACCTGAGTTTATGGGTTATATCAAATCCTACCCTCTGCCACTTGTGAGTAAGCTGTGTACCAAGTGACTCCAATATTAGTTTTAACATGAACTAGAGACATGCAAAGAGACAGGCAAATTAGGGCAAAAATTTTTCTCCAACAAAAGAATATTTTTATCCTAAATGAAAAGAGAGTTGTTTTACAAATAAGAGATTTTTAAATAAAACCGGCTTTCAGCTCCCCTTTATGAGAAATAAATATATAATCATTTGGAATTTAACCTGAGCTCTGATACAGACGAATTTAAAGCTGGGCAAAAACATACAGAAGATGGAGCTCATAATGCAGTCATCATCTCCCCATCCCTTCCCACCCTAGCTGAGGCCAGAGAAGCCCTGTGGTAATAGACATTGAAACAGAGATGGATAGAACCTTAAAAGTTCTTAGGGGACACATGAGTACCCCTTAACGTGGGAATCAAGTAAATGTCCTAAACAAACTTGACCAGCACACCACTGCATCCTTACCCCAGAGAAAGACCTTTTCCAATATGGTCAGATTATTGATGTTAATTTTATTTTTCAGGATATCTATCTAAATTGGCCTTAGGTGCTATTTTTTCAGGTAGTTTTCTCCAACAAACCTGATGGATTTGCCCATGAAATTGGCAGATAATGACATTAGAGAGAGTAAATCATCAGGTTAGGTTAAAATACAGCTAAATGTCAAATAATTTTTAAGTGACATCAAAAGTCCCACATTTTTCTTGCTCCACAATCACATGACCAACAAGGCACCTGCCTACAAACAGCTGCATTAGGTGACTGTTCGTGGAGTTCCTAAAGGCAATGCATTTATCCATTCATTAAAAAAAAATTACAGAAACCCTCTAAATGCAAGGATCATCTGTACCCCCAGTCACCTCCATGACACTGCTGCTGGACATAACAATAACCTCAGCCTACTCTTAAAAAGACATTTGTCAAGAAGAGAGCTAACCCAGTATACTTAGTTTAAGACAAGAGAAAAAGAATTACACATAGTAACGTCAGTCTACATTGCATTCTCCTACCTGGGATAAGCTAAATGCAATAGGGATTTTTAATCTTGTGCACTACTATATCCCCAGTATCTAGGAAAAAATACCTAGCAAACAGTAAACATTCATTAAATATTGAATTCATAATGAATAAATAAACTAATCTCAGTTTCTTCTTTGGACAAAGAAAATGAAGTCCCCCTGCTGTTCCAGGAATATTCAGTAATTATGGGTTCTTTCATAGCTCCCAGATACACGAAAATCTCCAACACCCCCAACACCTCCAGCACCATCACTGGCTTCATCCTCCTGGGCTTCCCTTGCTCCAGGGAAGGGCAGATCCTCCTCTTTCTGCTCTTCTCTGTTGTCTACCTCCTGACGCTCATGGGCAATGGGTCTATCATCTGTGCTGTGTACCGGAATCAGAGACTCCACACTCCCATGTACATCTTCCTCACCAACTTCTCCTTCCTAGAGATCTGGTATGTCACCTCCACTGTCCCCAACATGTTGGCCAACTTCCTCTCTGACACCAAGGTCATCTCCTTCTCTGGGTGCTTTCTCCAGTTCTACTTTTTCTTCTCCTTGGGTTCTACGGAATGCTTTTTCTTGGCTATTATGGCATTTGATCGGTACCTTGCCATCTGCCGGCCTCTACGGTATCCAACCATTATGACAGGACATCTCTGCACCAATCTTGTGGCCAGTTGCTGGATACTTGGTTTCCTCTGGTTCCCAGCCCCTATCATTGTTATTTCCCAAATGTCCTTCTGTGGATCCAGGATCATTGACCACTTCCTATGTGACCCAGGTCCCCTATTAGCACTCACCTGTGCCAGAGCCCCAGTAATGGATTGTTTTTGGATGATTTTAAGTTCCTTGCTCTTATTTATTCCCTTCCTCTGCAACATGGGGTCCTATACTCTGGTTGTGAGAGCTGTGTTGAGGGTCCCTTCAGCAGCTGGACAAAGAAAAGCTTTCTCCACCTGTGGGTCCCATCTGGCTGTGGTTTCATTATTCTATGGCTCAGTGATGGTCATGTATCTGAGCCCAACAACTGAACATGAATCTGGGATGCAGAAGCTTGTGACCCTGTTTTATTCTGTAGGGACCCCACTCATTAATCCTGTGATCTATAGTTTGAGGAACAAAGATATGAAACATGCCCTGCAGAAATTTCTAGGAATATAAAAATTTTGACCTTGGTAAGAAAAAAAAAATCTTTGGATAACTGGTCTACCTTCATACTTTTTCAGGTGAAAAAAAACTAATAACCAATACCACTCTGAGAATTGTTCATCCTATTAATGAACTTATTCATTGTGGCTGTTTGTACTTTTCCTAGAATCATCAGAGTAAGAAAGGATTTCAGAGACATTATCCAATTCCCTCATTTTATATATGAAGAAGCTGGAGAATGGAAATTTTGAGTGAACTGCTCTGGTCATAACTTTATAATGCACAGAAAAATATTTTTATTTTTTAAAGAGCTGCTCTTTCTACTCATAAAGAAAGAAGTACATAATAAACTATAAGAAAGTATTTTTGCCATTCAGATATGCAGCCATCAAATAGTCTTTCATCTGAGGAGGGAGAAATATATATACTACTGATAGAAATGTAAACTGGTACACCTTCTACTTAGAACAAATCACAAACAATTTAACAAACTTTAAAATGCACACTATCCATTAACCCAGCAATTACACTCACTCCTAAATACCTAGTCTACACATATAATCATACATATGTGAAAATATGCATGCAGAAAAATATTCATTGTTGCAGCTTTGTAATAGCAAATTGCTAGAATCTACTTAAATGCCCACTTATTGAGACCTGTTTAGGTAACTTATGATGGGCCCATGCAATGGAAAATGATACATTTTTTAAATGAAGGAGTTTAGATGCATAGCCATGGAACCACCTACAAGTTATATCGTTAAGTGAATAAATGATATATAGCATGTAAGCCGTCATTTATGTATAAAATTATAGATTTGTGCATTTAAAAAAAAGGATAGACTATCCTTTCAAAGGATAGATATGAAACTTAACAATGGTTGCACTTGGGAAGAGAGGGTGGAGGGTGTCTTGGATACAAAAGAAAGGAAAAGATTTATTTTCACTGTGTACCCTTTGTTATCCTGGATACAAAATTTTATTGATGATGATGATGATGATGATGATGACGTCATCTCTACTGGCAAATTTTCCAAGAACTGGATCCTGAGGAACAGTTCCCCCAAAATTCCTGGGTTCCTCGAGGAATCTATAAAGCAGGCTGCCTTCCATAGCATATGAAGGAGCCAGGATCTAAGAGCCCACAGACATAATTTCATTCAGACTTCTTAGTTCTGGAGAGAGCAAGTGGGAATTACTTTGTCATCTGAGAATTTGTGGCAGGAAATAAACTGTATTAAAGTTATAACCAGACTCTTTTCAGAACTACTATATTCATATTCTTTATTGTTTTCTCATTCATTAAAAAACATTTAATGAGGGACACCTGGGTGACTCAGTCGGTTAAGCATCTGACTCTTGATTTCAGCTCAGGTCGTGATCTTGGGGTCATGGGATCAAGGCCTGTGTGAGGCTCTGCACTCAGCAGGGGGTCTGCTCTCTCCATCTGCCCCTCCCCACCACTCTCTAAAATAAATAAATAAATCTTTTTAAAAAATTTAATGAATAACTTCAATGTGTCAGGTACAGAGCTAGGAAATGAATCAACTAAGGTGAATAAATCATATATTGGTCCCCCATGGAGTTTACAGTTTATGATGAGAAAAAACTTAAATTGTGAGATGGGCTACGACCAAAAGAGGTATTAGTTGCTATCGAAGTTGGCTGGAGAATAGTGTGTGCAAAGTATGGACAGGTGAGGGGCAAAAGAGCAGGAGAATGAAGTATTTCCACACAGCTAACTGTAGCTCATGGTCTACAGGGTCACAGTTAGATAAAGGTCAGGAGTGTCTCTGGGAAGGGTCTATGAAGCTCTTAAAGTCCAACTCATGTTCTTCAGTTTACTGCAATTACAGGCAAAAGTCTAAACATAAAATATGACAAAAATTAAAATCAAAATACATTTTTAAAAAACAATATATGCAAATGAAAGTTATATTGTATAACAGAAATGTAGAAATTATTCTTCAAGAGACATGGAACCTCAAATAGACCACCTGATTTCCCTTAGGGTAGGAACCATAAGAGCCAGAAACTGTGTCAGCTCTTTGCCCTGCCCTTTACATTCAGCAGTATATCTCAAAGTAAAATCATTTTTTCTATTCAATGTGCATTTGTAATATAGCAATTATTTTCATAATGAAAACATCTTAATTTTCTTTTATTTATACAATGCTTGTTTATTATAAACATTTTTAAATAGTAAAGTATAAACAGATATAAATCACCCAAAATCCCACTATCCTAAGATAGCTATCATTAAATGTTAGGTAACCACCTCCTCAGATATGTCTTATCTGCATATGCATATTATATATAGTATATAATTTATATTAATGTATATATATAATTTATACCCACACACATATAGTTTTACATATATGGTCACAACAGACATGCTGCTGTCTCTATGGAAGGCATCCTTTGCTTTCTTTACTTTACTTTTCCTTTACTTACTCTTCCTTCCTCCCTTCACTCCTTCCCCACTTCTCTCCACAACCACCTCACACTCTTTTAAATAAGATTAATAACCTAATGTATATCCTTCTATATTATTCTCCATACCCCTGTAATTATATATTTATACACACAGAGACACTTTCACACACTTATACTCCACATATACCTTATATAACCATGCACAATATACACATATACTCCCATAAATTTAGACAGTGCAATTATCTTAAAATATGGAAATATATAATATAAACTTCTTTATATCTTGATTTTTTCACTTAACATTATGTTGATGGATTCCTTTAAATTCAACTACTATAAATTTTAACTCCTTCTTATTAGCCATTTAAATGTCCATTTAGCACAATTTACCCAGCTGTTTCTCTGTTTATATGCATAACTTCACTTCCTATCTTTGTCCATATAAACAATGATGCAACACACACACACACACACACACACACACACACACACACATATTCTAAAGTACCTGCGTCTTTATTTTTATGGGATAGATTTCCAGGAGTGTATTTTTGTATAACACATAATATTGTTATATTGCTTTCACTCAAGGCTATTCACAATCACATTTCCACCATTAATATGAGTATCCCATTCACCCCTAGAAACTGATATAAAGGCTTTAAATTTTGCCAGGCTTGTCCATCAGAAGAGACAACCCATTGGTAATGAATGTCATTGGCATTTCTTTTAATAGTGATAAGACTGAGCATTTTTTTTCTTATGTCATTAGCCAATGTTTTTTCTCTACTGTGATTTGCCTGTTAGCATCCTTATCCATTTTTTAAATTTTTTTAATTCAGTTAACATACATTATTAATTCCACGGGTAGAATTTAGTGATTCATCAGTTGCATATAACACCCAGAGCTCATTACATCAAGAGCCCTCCTTAATGCCCATCACCCACATATCCCATCCCCCCACTCACCTCCCCTCCAACAACCCTCAGTTTGTTTCCTGTAGCTAAGAGTCTCTTATGGTTTGCCTCCCTCTCTGTTTTTATCTTACTTTATTTTTCCTTCCCTTCCCCTATATTCATGTTTTATTTTTTAAATTCCACATATGGGTGAAATCATATGATATTTATATTTCTCTGACTTATTTTGCTTAGCATAATACCCTCTAGTTCCATCCACATCATTGCAAATGGCAAGATTTCATTCTTTTTGATGGCTGAGTAATATTCCATTGTGTATACATACCACATCTTCTTTATCCATTCATCTGTCGATTGACACCTTATCCATTTTTAATTAGTTATAATTTTCTTAAGAAACCTTTATTGTAGATATTAACCCTTATCTGTCAAATGTATTGCAAATATTTTCCTCTAATCCATCATTTCATCTTTGTTTATAGTCTCTTCACTAAGATGTGATTACATATATAGAATATCTTATTTTGTACTAATAGCTAGAGATGTATAAGGAATAAAGACAGGTCAATTTGAATTGTCAGAAGAGGATTATTGTCCCATGTGCCTCTTCACCAAAACAGGAAGAGATGGAGCTACTGGGCCATACAAAAGCAATTCATGAGCTTTGGTTAATTCTCATTCCACAGAAGACATGACTGAGGGCAAGATTCATATTATTGTCAAGAAGGCTAGAAATGAGAGGGTTTAAGACTGGCATTACTGGGCACCTGGGTGGCTCAGTCGGTTAAGTGTCTACCTTTGGCTCAGGTCATGACCCCAGCGTCCTGGGATCAAGTCCCGTGTCAGGCTTCCTGATCAGTGGGGAGCCTGCTTCTCCCTCTGCCTGCCAATCCCCCTGCTTGTGTACTCCCTCTCTCTCTCTCTCAAATAAATAAATCTTTAAAAAAAAAAGACTGGTATTACTATAGAATATATCAATGTCATGATGTAATAATTATCTACACTTTAACTAAACTCCCAGAGGTGGGACTCGGGAATGAAATACATATTTCATGATGGGTATGGGGGTACACAACAGAGCAACAGTGGGTTCATGTCACACAGAAAGTGATCGGTAATATTAGGAAAAGAAGAAAATGAAGATTAAGCATATAAGAACACCAGTGAGTAAACAAAGACACACCACAATGCCCAGAGCCACCGAGTCATGATGATAGGATAGGGAAACATGTTCAGGTACCAGCCATTGGCCATGATAGAGAGCCAGTGATATACAGGAGATTAGAATATTTTCTACTGAGGCTAAGTCAGGTTTGATCTGCCTTCTCTGAACTGAGGCTGTAATTCATGACAAAGTCCATATCTAACTTAGCCAGAGAGACGGTTAGCCCTAATTGTCAAGTCAAACAATTAATATAATAAGTTTAATAAGGGAATTAATGCAGGCCCTGAATAAAATGGTAATCAATCTCACATCACTTAGACATACTATCAGAAACATCTAAACCAATTAATTCCAAAAGTCCTTTGTATTCTTACTTATACAGCTAGCCAATCTGATTCTATTTCCCAACTGGACACCCACAGTCAGTGAGTGACAAATAACCTATGGCAAGGACCTGAGCAAGTGCCTGTAGCACATGTCTGCTCTAACTCAACAGTCAATATACATAGAATTTGTTCATCGATTCTTCAAAGGGAGAAGATAAAGAAGCTGGCAGTCACACTGATATGAGGAATTCTTAATCTCAGGAAACAAACTGAGGGTTGCTGGAGTAGTGGGGGTGGGAGGGCTGGGGTGGCAGGGTGATGGACACTGAGGAGGGTATGTGCTATGATGAGTGCTGTGAATTGTGTAAGACTGATGAATCACAGACCTGTACCTCTGAAACAAATAATACATTATATGTTAAAAAAAGAAAGAAGAAGAAGAAGATAGTAGCAGGGGAAAAATGAAGGAGGGGGCAATTGGAGAGGGAGACGAACCATGAAAGACTATGGACTCTGAGAAAGAAACTGAGGGTAACACCAGAATGGGTTAGCTGGTGATGGGTATTAAGGAGGGCACGTACTGCATGGAGCACTGTGTTATATGCAAACAATGAATCATGGAACACTACATCAAAAACTAATGATGGAATGTATGGTGATTAACATAATAAAATAAAATTAATCAGGAAAAAAAAGCAGCCAGAAGTGAAATGCCATTCCCTACTACAACACTCAAATGAGGCAGTAGAGTCTTGCTGCAACACCTAGCTTGATGTAAACGGGATGACAGAATGACAACCCTAGGTCATTCCATTAACATTCATGAACTGCTGGCCTTCTTACATTTCACAGATACATGAACATTTTAACACCTCTAATATGCTAACACTCTGACTTCTCTTGCCCTGAGGAGTTTTGGATCCTCCTCTTTGTGCTCTTCTCTATTGTCCACTAAAGGCACTTCATCCCACAAGCTCCATTGTATATGGCTTCCCACTAAATAAAGCTAATGGGAGACACCATCAGGAGATCAGAGGTAAGGAAGAGAGAGAAGTTAGCTTCAACACAGCCCATAGACCCAGGCAAATGGAGCCCATTATTCCTGTGCTTTAGAGTGTCCCACTCTGCTCACTTTCAGTTTCCTAATGGTGAGGTGACTGACTCTAAAACGAACAAGATGTTCCCACAGAGTGCCTGCACCCTCTCCCTCTCTAGATCAAGCTCTGAGTACCCAGGTCTCTGGAATTCCCTGCTCTAATGGCCCCAAGCCCACTTCCAGGGCCATGTGAACCTTTTCCCTCAGTCTATCTTCTGAATGGCAGTATGTGTGTACATTCCTGGATCACAGAGGAGACAACAGGGGGTTATTTGAAGGGGTATGGACAGAGCCTAGGTATACAAGCTAGAAGTCCTCCTATGTGAGTATGGGAGGGCCCCTCACATTGTGGAACAGATTCAGGGGTAGGAAGAGAAAGGAGTGAGACACAAGCCAGGGCCTGGAGTCAGGGGTCAGCTCTCTCCACACCACAGTTCTGCATGAAACTCCCAGAAATCTGAGAATTCTACATCTGAACCTAGTTTTCTAAGTCCACACAAAGTACACCTGAAAATGTAGAAGGATAGCACATATTTTACAGAACACTGTTAGTTTTTCAACTTTTAAATATTTAGACATATTTTATGTTGAAGTCCACTTGTACTTCTGCCCTGGGCCCTACAAATGTTATGACTCAGCCTGGACAGTATATTTCTTCTGTGTTCACTGCTTGGTTCTAGCAATGGCTGCATCTCTCTATGA